ATTCATACACGGATTACTAAATATGAAATAGAATCATAGTTATTAAATCAATTTGGGTTTCGACTAAAATCATACCCAAGATTTAATCGGGAAATTGGATGTCGAAAGGACTCTACATGTATGTACTTGTAATCGAAATAGGTTTACTCGCTATTCACTTAATACTAGATTCATGCTACTTGCTAGGTGTTCCCATGATATGTGGGTTCTTGAATTAAAGGGGTTAATTCAAGAATAAGAGTTAATAAGATTAACTCAAATTACAAAGAGTTGTAAACCCACTACTAGTATTAATTGTGAACCTAAAAGGTCACACCAATGTTTGTATAGAGACAAATATTAGTATTTCTAAAGAGTTAGAATTAATTGACAAAATCTAATTTTAATTAGATGTCAATTAAAGAAATATATTAAATTAATCAATTGGATTGATTAATATTAATTTAGTGACTAATGTAATTACTAAATTAATAGTTGGATTTTAAAAGTTAGATTTTAAAATTCAAATCTATATAATAATATGATTATTATATGAAAGGAGAATATTAAATATAATAAATATGTTTACAAATGATTTTAAAAGAGTTTAAAATTATTTGTTTATTATTATTATTGATTTTTAATGTTGATTAAAAATTAAATAATAATGATAATAATATAATAATGACAAGATGGAGTCTTGCAATTATTATATTGTTGTATTAACTTGTAGAAATGAGAAAAGATTTTTTAATTTTGCTTGTCAAAATTATTAAAGACTTTTGTAACATTTCTTGTAAAAGTTATACAAGTCATATATATTTTATTGCTAAAAAGTTTAGTATAAATATGGGCATGGTTGATGTTCATTTTTGCAAGAATTTGTGTTAACATTTTCACTTATAATTTGAGAAATAAAGAGTTAGTATTTCATTTTTGTAAACAAGAATTGTTCTTGTAATATTCTCCTATTTATATATTTCTATACTAAGTTATAAATCGAGTGAGTTCCTACTAGCAAAGGAGTCATCTCGTAGTCGGAAGCAAACGGTAGATACGTTTAGAGGGAAGACAAGTGGATTCCTAAAAGCGAGCAAACCGAAGTGTTCGTTATTAATACGGGAACCAATTTCCTCAACCACCATCAAGAAGAAGGAGTTAAAGTTATAAGGTAATATTTGATATTACTTGTAATTTCTGATATTACTTGTAACAAATCAAAATTTGTATTATTACATGTTTTTAAAGATGACGATTTGTTAATTCGCCATATGTATATACGGGCTAAGTATTTAAGTGTTAAATACTTGTTTTGAAAAATTTTAAATTCCGCTGCGTATAGCCCGTACGGTACAGGCGAACCCAACATCTCCTTGGCCGGAAAACTTTTCTGGATGGTAGTCGCGAAACAGGGCGACCACTGTGGCCTGTGGGAGTTCCTGGTGATCTGGTTCTCTACGAGGAGGCATCTGAACATTGAAATATTTAACATGATTAATTAACATAAACGATTAACTGACTGACTGCTTAAGTACACAAATCTCTTGATGAGTCGCTAAATAACCCGAGAATACTAAAGTCGAACTATCAAATGACTGAGACAATCGACTAGGTTCTGAACATACTCGAGCATCTTACTGGTTTCTAGGGTCAAATATCTGATACCCTCTTACTGAGCATAGACTTAAGTATTGTTTAAATATATAGACTGTAACTCAGCACTTACCTGATAGTCGGCGAGGCGTGTGCGTAGCGTGGTCGGGTCTTTTCTGAAAATTTCTGACTTCAGATACACGAAAAATGTGCTCTGATACCAATTTGTAACACCCCGCTAGCTTACTAAAATCAGAGTGTGATTTTCGCAAATTCTTTTCTAAAATTCACGTTTTAGTTTGCGAAACATATCTCGGGATGCTACGTATAACATTTTTAGTTTGTGAAACATATCTCGGGATGCTACGTAAAACATTTCTTTTTTCTAAAAATCCGTTAACTTTAAACCCATTTATGAAAAACGGATTATCTTTATAAAACAAGCGTGTGATACTGTATAAAACTTGACTCGAAATCTTGGATCGTCGTCTGAAAATTTACACGCTAATTTGAAAGTCTGAAAACGTCAGCGGAAGTAAAACGTGGCAAATATATACATGTCAACAGTCTGCAAAAATATATACATAATTACATGTACTGGACCGGCGACCACCAGCTCCACTCACTCCTCCGGACCGACCCTGTCACCTGAAAAGGTCATAATAGTGGGAGCGTGAGTACTAAAGACATTGTACTCCGCACAAACTCATACTAAAGTAAAAATTAATAATAATATCAATATCATGACTGCAGGTATATATAAGTAAACTGTAAACTGTAAACTCCAGACACGTGGTCTGTACTGAACTGAACTGCCATGTGCACACTCTGATGGGCAATTAAGGCTACTGCGCCTCCACCAGAACTCTGGATGGGCAATTAAGGCTACTGCACCTCCACCCAAAGTGGATATCTCATATACATACCTTAAAACATGATAGAGCAATTATAACCAGTGTAATACCCAGTCTGAGTTCCCACCTGTACTGATAATGTAAGTGCTGCTGCTGATCACTCTGTAAAAATATATAAATAAACAAATACTAAGTACTACGCTCAGACTGACTGAAAATAATGTTAAGATGCTCGACTCGATCTAAATATTTAACTGGAATATTCTCGGGACATAAATTGACCGACAAGAAAAACGGACTTGAACTGATATTGGTGAACTGGACTGACTGGACTGAAGAATTAACTGAAATACTATACTGGATTCGAACCGGATCAGTAAATACTGAACAGTTCAAAAAACCGGTCTAAACCGGCCGGTTCATTTTTTGGTCGGACCGTCGGCTCGCTGCGGCCGGGCGGTCAGCTGCTGGCTGACCACCAGCTCAGTCACTCGCGCACGCTGGGCGTGGACTGGGCGCTG